GGGTTTTTAGGCCGTCGTTCGGTAGAATTTCTTCTTGACGTTTCGCAAGCACGAGTGGCTTGCATCTTCAGAAGTGGTTTGCTTGAAGGCTTACATCAGAACAGTGTTGTCCTATTAAAGATATATCTTATATAAATTCTACCGAACGACGGCCTAAAAACCCGAAAACCCCATTAGTTTTTACATTTTCTTTGCTTTTTGAGTAAAAACAATCCGATCAAATCAAATGTTTCATCATTTTAAAGCTCTTAATCCAAGAGAAAGTATTTCCTCTTGTTTTAAAGGAATAGGTGGTAGTCGACCGTACGAACAGTACTTAAAATCACGCCTTCCGTTAAGGTATTGCGGGTTTTTGTGGGTTTTTGGTACAATCTGGACTTTCTGTTGGCGCTTGTATCCTATTACGTAACTGACACAAAAACGTTAATGTATTAATTTCGATATCTTTTTGAAAATATTTTAATTGCATTCAGTTGAAGACTAAGTCTATCGAATCACAGCAAGTGATGATCATAATAAACTAAAGACAATAGAAGTCAATTTAAATACGATTAACACTTTATATATTAAGCTTGACTTTTTTTTAACTGGGAGCCACCAATCCTGACAAAACTTCCTGTGAAAAATTCTTATTTCCTTCGCAAATGTTTTTGTACTCTAATTAGATACAGATTATTGTTGAAGCCATGAACTATTCAAGGATGTTAATCTCGTTGTTTACATCATCATTTCGATCAGCTCTTCGTCGTATTCGAGTTATATACTAAGCACAAAACTAATTATAAGAAATTAGATACGGAATGGAAAAATATTTCATGGAGATACTGGAAGCGAATCTATATTTCTTCTTAATATTAACTATGGCGTAAAATGAGTTTCATAACAAGGGAGGATTGTTGTTTTTGTTTGATGTTCACGCTGGCAGAAAAACATAGGGGTATTTTATTAATACCGCTGTTGATGTTGCAAAAGAGTACTACATAGTTGCTGACCTGCAAAAGATATTTTCTTTTGCTCTACCTAAAAACTTTTTGCTTGGAAAATAAAGTTATGAAACAACCCAACAGTAACAATTTATTAACTGTTTAGGACAGTATTAAAGCAATATCTGTAGAAAATTGTACATCCTTCTTAGAAAAGTCTCAAGCACGCGGAAAAAATGATCATAATGAGCTAATTATTTAATATTTAAGAAAAATTAAATTGAATAACTTTACTTTAGTGTTCTTGAACGGTATGTATTATCTGTTTTATAATATTTTATTAAAATAATATCTTGCCGTAAAAACGTATTAAACAAACGTTTTATGATTTCTACTGTCTCTTAGTTAAACTGCCGTTTATATTGATTTGGCGTTACACTTACCCAAAAAGAAACATTTTTCACTACTTTCCTATTAGTTTCATAACGCTTAATAGTAAGATATGAAGTAGAATGTTTCTACGGTTATAGATTTGGAGTTCAGAGCTTTTCTGCTCACAAGCAGTAAGTGCTTATTTTAACTCCTTCAAGTAAATCGTTGAGAACTGATTTTCCAAAATACACCTAGTAAGTGTCTAGAAATATCACTTACTAAACGGATCCATCTAGGTATACTTTGACCTAAAGTAGATCGATTTCAGTCAACAAAACTTTGTTTGACTCTTAGAGGTGTTGAAAGAAGTTGAATTTTCCAGTCTTTTGCTATTTTCGTAAAAAAAAACATAAACCATCCAGATAATTATAAATTTAGTTATTTTTTACTGGTAGGTATTGTAACTAATTCAGACGAAAATTCGGATGAAAAATGGAGAAAAAAAGTTGTGTGCTGTGTGAAAGACTTTCGTTGAATATTTGCTTTCTTATATTGCGCGGACTGGAAATTTTACGGTAGAAAAACATATTTTATTAGTATATAAATTCCATGGCGGTATCTAAAATTTCTGAACAATGGATTGTCCAAAGATTCATGTAAAAATTGTGACAGCTACTGGCACAGAACAGAATATTAAAGAAGCCATTGCAACTATTAATCAAATTAATCTTACATAAAGTAGAAGCTAAGACCTAAAATATTCATATGTAGAAGCAAAAGTAGAACTTACAACTGACTTTTCAGAGAACAAATAATATTAGTTCTCCAGCTTAATTGATAATTTTATGAATTGTGCCACTTGAGTTGAAGCTCAAATAGTCTCATTTATTTAGACATATTTTATATGAATATGTTTCATCCGTCTAACGTACAAAATAAAATGCTCAAACCATTGGGTACACTTACAATTTCTTACTCTTCATGTAGTATAAAATATTAACGAGTAGAAATTTCAAAATAGTCTGTTCGACTTTTAAGACAAGAGAAATATCCAAAAGCGCGAACTATAAACAGTCAGAATAAACTACTATTGGATTCTATTACATCGTTTTTCAAACGAGGACACAATCTTTTATTTTTACAGTGAAAATGAAAATATATTTATCGACCGTATTTAATGTTCAGCTGCTAGTTTATTGTTTTTATTTTATTCTTATGCTGTCGATGTTGTCTACCAACTATTTTATTGACTTTAAAATTCAACTTTTATCGATTTTATGAAATCTTATTAAATAAATTTTATTGGTCAATTAATTTTAATTTAATCGTTTGCCTTAGTTGACCTTGTTAAGGGCTCTACGAAATAATATAAATAGGGCTAAAATAGTGAAAATGTCTTCATCTTATCTTTGATTTGAACATGATCGAACCAGAATAATTTCCCTAATTACAAACGTGATTCAATTTCACAGAAATCTTATCTATCATCATTTTCTGCGTAACATCACTTATACTAACTTTCTGGTCGTTTTCGACCGTAACTTTAATTTCTGATCGTTTTCGAAAAACAAGGTGCAAATGCGACTGCTTTTAAAAACAGGTGGACATGTACAGTGTTAAAAGTATTTTTTTTTCAAGCTATTTATTTATAAGGAAGCCGTTGTTTAAATTAGGAAAACAAAAACCCACAATGTGGCCATCGTCTACCAACGTATTGTAGATATTTAATGTATTTATTTAAACAATTGATTTATTGGGCTTTTAATTAGAAAATTCTGGCCTTAGATCACCCGAATTCAGAGATGACTTTTTATGAGGGACTTTCAATTCCAATCTTTATGTAGAATGGCTTACAAATGTGAAAGCTTTGAAAACCTGAATAAAGCAAGGCAGGATGAAAACTTGCAAAAGGGTGTAAAATTATGTTTAAGATGAGTTTTTCCAAGAAACCAATGGATTGCAATACAAACGTTTTATTTATTGCTGCTGTTATTGTTGTTTATTGCAAATCCAATTTTGTTTTAGTTTCCTCAGTACATTTTTAAATGTAGCTTTTCGCTGGCTACAATTAATTTGTAAGAGTATGTTAGACGAAAAATGCTTAGCGTTGATATGCCCACTTTCGGTATATTAACAAGGGATTAAAAATTAGCCACTCACGTAAAAATTGTGATTTTCTAGAAAATGAACAGTGAATTTTGGTCGTAGTCTTATTAATATCATTAATCAAGTATTAATGAATAATTTATTTATATTTTAGGAAAAACAAGCGTAATTTTCCAATATTGGACGGTTTCTGCGGCTATCAAATTGGTTTAAAACAAGTCCCTCTACAGTTTGATGCTCCTAACTTTTTATGTAGCCAAATTTGCTTCTTGTTTTATTCACTAAGAAAAAACGATAAGAAAACCACATTGTTTTGCAATTAACCGACCATTTCATAGACGACCATTCTCAAGGCTTCTCAAGTTTTGCTCGATATTCCTCGATGGGTGGGAGAGACACTTAGGAACAAAATCAAAGAACAAATTAAGGTCTAGTTCTTGGCTTCCGCAATTCCTGAAAATCGTGAACGGCGCGTGGTTGTTATACGCGGGTACTTTCAGACTCGCGCGAAAAGTATCGACTTGGTGGTACTCAGGACTCCTTTATACGTTTGTTTTCCGGATAGTGTGAATTGTACGAAAATAGTGCTTTTTTCGATTTGATCAGGTAGGAGGTCATTAAATTTAAATAAACATGTCCATTATAGTTTCTTTAACTTTTTCATAGTTTGCTGTTTATTTAGTTATATAATTATAACTGTGTGTTTAGTTCAAGTTTTCCATTTAAGAACTGAGGCAAAGTACTAATATTAAAGTAAGATTTTTCCATATTCATAAAACATTTTGTAAATTTCATTAAATTAAATGCTTTAAATTTTGTTCTCTTACAACTAAGTCAATTATGTTCAACATTTATTTTATCTATTTTCTTCACTGTAATGAATGTACCGAAAAAACTGTTTTGCAGCTATAGTTTAATTTGCATTTTACTTTTCTTTTTGTTCTATTAATAAGTAATTTTC